TKTKTTTTTTTCTATCATGGCGAAAKCTGGCAATAAATGCGCAACATTTTCTTTTACTAATTTCGAGCCGTTGTCTTAAATAATATACTACGTTATCCTTTGTTAGAACTGAGATATCCTTGAAATGGTAATTGTAAAGTATTCATCATATTTTGTATGTTTGYTTGTCCTAGTCATTGTGACACGCTCAATTCACACCAAAATCAATTGTTGCTATTTMTCACATAGGTGTTTGTGTTGTCTGTCTTKTATTCTTGTTTTAAAACATATTATCGTTTGTTGTTGTTGTTGATGTTTTTTGCTATAGTTGTCGTTCATGTTGTTGTTATTGTCATTACTGGTGTTGTCAAATTCTTTCTACTGCGGTTGTCGTTGCTGTTGGTACCGTCTTGTTTTCCGTGTCGTTTCCAAAACATCTTACATTCCAAAGAATTGTTCCTTTATCCAAAAACATATTTTCATAGCCAGAGGGCAATATTCTCAATTATTAAAATTCCTCAAGGATTATTTCTTAAGTTTTTCTTTTGTCGTGCATAAGAAAATATAATTTTGAAAACAAAACACTTAAGCAACTTCAGCCCCCAAAAAGACTGTCCTTCATTATTACCGTTTGATTGACAGCTGCAATAATTACTTGCACAGTTCCTAACGGTTGTAATGRAAAATATTATTGTCTGCCTAATCCTAGTGTTGTCAGATATCCTAGTTTTCTGAGCTTGATTTTCTTTGTTATGTAAATATGAAAGTCTGTAAGTCATTTCGCAGTACTTAGTACATGTTGTGACGATTTTTACGCGGAAAAAGATGTACGTTCGGTTACATTATCCACTTGCAAATCCACGGGAAAACTTTCCCACAAAAAGTCCAACGGAGAGGCAAAACGCAGAGGTAAAGATGATTGGATTTTCACTTTTAAGAGCAGAAGTTAAGCTTAGTTGCACTCTAATTGAAAAGCCGTATTGAATAAGTTCGTGTAGACAGGAAATGTCAAGGATTTGTGTATTTGTGTGGTTATAGTCTATGGAAGTTTTGTTGTTTGTCTAGTAATCGTAGTTTTAACCTACTGACAAGCAGGGAAGTGACCGCTTTCGATAGATCATTGGTTTGGAAAAGGTACCTCGTGTACCCTGACATGCAATAAAACGTCGATTTTGCGTCGTACCTCAATGTAGTTCCAATACCAAGTCAGAATCATGATTTTGAAATACGGCTTTTGTTCTAATCATGATATCGAAAACATATGATGTTGTTTTTGAGCGATTTTTGGTCATGCTGMTAGATAACTTTATGTTTCGCCATACATTGCGTTTGCCTGGAAAGTAACTCCGAAAACGCGGAAATGTTTGTAGACTTTGTCATTAAATCAATAGAAATGTTTTTTTTTATCGCAAATTAAGAGTTGGAAATAGCAAAAGAAGTGATATTTTTATCCAYAACTGCGATATTTTTTCGTGCGTTTACGGTGCCATAGCACGTTTTTCAACAGGTAATTTGAATATAAATGTACACTCTTAATAAGTATTGTCAAGCATTTTCCATTATAAAATGAGTTTTCAGTGATTTTTAATCTCMATGAAAGCATTTTTTGTCTGAAGATGAGTAAAATGAATTATTTCAAGGGTTTTTCTCACGTTCTTGTCGATATTTCAAGCATTGAATTGAAAATTCAGATCTCTTGTATGATTATGAACAGGTCTGTATTCAAACTTTTTACAATGGATTAAAAAAAAACTATCAAGGCGAAGATGAAGTTGTCTGTCGTCAATAAACAGTCAAACTTTCGGGGTTTTTTCTTTTTCTCCATTATGACAGTGGAGATAGTGTAGTTTCTRGATTTCATGCTGGGAAATAATATTCATATGACGTCAACCCCTCGGGAAAGATAGATAAAAACAGTCTTCTCTCTCATCAGACTCTGAAAGATGTTATAAGATATATCGGTGGTGATGTCTTTTGGTATTGGCTTCTACAATTTTTTCATTTGTTRTAGTATCATTTATTTATTTTCTTGTTTGGCTATGTGTTCTTGTTTTCCATGATATTCTTTTGGATTGTATATTTTGTGTGTTTTCTTATGGTTATTGTTTTTTTATGTGTATGGTAGAAACTATGGAAGATTTTCGGCGCAAAAACTGGGTCATATACTTCGACGAGGCTAAGGGAGATAGTGCTCTGACCTCGCATTGCTATAATACCRAAAATTTGCTTGTTTCCTGTAGAACTGTGAATTATGTAATATCGGGATTAAAGCTCATGATTTGTTCGCTGGGTGTTTATTGTTTGGTACATAGTTGTACTCAAATATGGTTAATAGATCGGTGTCTTATCCATACTCCAGCCGAAAAACAATTTGAATTCTCAAGTTTTTTCTCTTTCTACAGATTGTACCAAATGGCGTGGCAGCAAGCACAGGGCTTAAAATAGGCGATCGAATATTAAAAGTAAGTGTTTTTTTTGATAATAAGACTTATTTTTCACATGTTTTGAAAAGGTTTGCATTGCTTGGCAACTATTTTCCCGCGACTGTTTTAAAAATTCGTTTCAGTCCCGCGCGGACTTCTTTTAAACTCGCTGTTCAAAGCTATCGCGGGCTTAAGGTGACGTAATGTGGAAGACTGACACAAAAATCAACTCGAAGCCCCCCTTTGTTTGCGCCGTTGTGTTTTTCAAATTCTCACAGCTTCCCATTGTCTAGTTTGACTAATACGAAGCACAAAAGAAGCGGAAATTGCCTCAATTTCCTTCACTATTCGGCACTTTTATGAACTATTCTTATCTTTTCAAAGCGTAAAATTCACTGAGTTTGCTTGTTTTATATTTAGAGCTGTGTATATTGCTCATAAATCTATTGTTATTTCTCATTTGAATCGATTTTGCTATTAAATTCACGTTGGTCCGAGATTAAAAAAGATGGATTTTCAAGTTCGAGTTGGTCCAGAATGTTAATATCTAGAATTCATTGATTATCGTAATCYTGTCTTTACTTGAATTAAGATTCACTTTGTCGTAAAATTCTTACTTTAAAGTTATTTCTTATAAACATTGCTCTTTTTAAGCTGGCTTGATCCTTTCTTTTATGACCTTATCATCTCTGGACCATTTATCTTTGAATGAAATAACGWCCCTAGGGACATTAGTACAAYAGCGCACCCATTCARTTTRGTACCTACGTAATGCCAGCACCATTGTTCAGGACTTTCTACAAATCTGCCGCTTCTYAAGCGGTACCATATATGGAAAAGGCCTATTTTCAGCTCTGAACGCGCCCAGGGACTTTTGTTGTCAAAACAAATAAGTACTTATGATTTATCGGTCATAAGACTTCGAGACTGGTCATTCAAAATCGCTTCCCACACGAACAAGTAACAACTCTCGAGTCTCAGCAGAAAAAACGGCGGAAATTTGACTATGAAGATGACTTGTGATATTAACGTAGCTCGTAGCTGGCCGTGTAGCGCTGCGTTACGTAGAAAGGTACGTTACGTAAGGGTGTCTAGATGATGCGTTAATGAGTTTTATATACACGAGGACAAAAATGGCAGTCGCCTTAATCTTGATATAAGCTAATGCAACGTCTTGCAAACGAACGCTTTTCCTCTCACGTATGCTTCAGTTTTCACGTCAGTTTCTCTTGCGGAAAACACTGATTTTCTAYGTTGCGGATTTTACAAACAGGTTATCGTCCAGTTATTTTATGATGTACGATTTTCGGTATCGTCAAGTTAATCCATCAGATACTATGAAATGTCTATGTAAGGTTGTATTTTACGCAGCAGGTTTACGCCAAGCTCGTACTCCGCGATATAGGAACGMAGCTTTTAATTTTTTTTTCTATTTGCCAAAAACTTTAATTGTAATCACATGTCAAAAATGCATTGGCTTTACTGGAAAGTCGCTTCGTCGCATCCAGGACAACATTATACACTCCATCGTGAATATTAGAGTAGTTCATAATTGATGTGGCAGCAAATTAGTTTTGTCGACTCATCAGTTTATTAACTTTACGTAAACGTTTATCAAAGACGTAATGATATTGTTATATTTACAGGTGAACGGTAAAGACATGAGGCATTCTACACATCAAGAAGCTGTAGCTGCATTGATAGCTAATGTGTCTCTTATAAAACTACTAGTACGTCATGACCCTCCACCTAAAGGACTACAGGTAATGTCAATCATTAGTACTCAGAGACTGCTCCCACTTTACGCATGCGCKACGTGGATAGTAAATTTCCCATACTCAAAGAGTTTGCTTCTACGCACAAATAATATCTTCCTTAATGCTGATTGGAGGATTATTTAATGCGCATGCTCGTTGAGCGTGTCTGAATCTATCCCACATGGGTCGATCGTGTGGACAAAGTATTTGTGTTTSTACGATTGTCGTTGGAGAATAAGGAAGAGGTTCTTTGAGCATCAAATTATTTCTTGTTTTTTTGCGAGTTATTTGTATTTTTTGTGTTTTCGTTGCTGACCGCAAAGAAGACGGTTTTTTAGTTCTTTGTTAATGATAAAAATACGTTTCATGTCAGGAAATCACGTTTATCAAGAGTCCTGGTGATAAGCTTGGTATTAGTATTCGTGGTGGTGCTAAAGGTCACCCTGGTAACCCATTCGATCGGACTGATGAGGGAATATTTGTATCAAAGGTAATTGCAATGATCGTCATTTAGTACAGTACAGATGAGACTCGTTAATCCGACCATGGAACAGTCAYCCTAAAGTGCCCGCATTACGTGGAAAARTAAAAGGGTTTGTTTCGCCGAAAATATAAATCTGGTCGYTATGACGGGGTGGCCGTATTATGCGAGGTTCCATTGTACTTTATAAGACAATGCTAGCTTRAGAACGAGGTATCCAATCATWYATGTATTCATTCTCAGGTCTCAGAGGGTGCAGCTGCTCATAAAGATGGTCGACTTAAAGTAGGACAAAGGATTTTAGAGGTGAGAATACAGATTGAAATATGTGACGTTACAACCAAAGGGRATTTTGGGAACTCGGAATATTGAATCATAAAGTTTGTCGAAGAGGACGCCATGATTAKTCAGCGAAGACAGTGTTTGGAATCTAAGATATACACATGATTATATCTACCAACTATATCGGTTTTTACTTCGATCATGTAAAACGAGGTTTTTGGYGTATTACCATGTAAAACAACACTAAGTGTTCCTGGAAATTTCCATTAACTTTCCACCTCTTGTTTTGTACAGGTCAATGGTACCAGTCTTCTAGGAGCRACTCACCTCGAGGCTGTACGCGCGCTAAGATCCATGGGAGATAAATTAACGCTCCTGGTGTGTGATGGGTACGATCCTACCAAGGTACCCGAAGTCCTTCCTGGGCAGATGCCTATTATGTCTCTAACCGCCGGTAAATCGGTCAGCGAAGAATCAATAGATAGAGATCCGCCAACTCACGACAGAGCACACGAAGAAATTCGACGGGAAATCCGACGACAGGTATGAGCAATCGATATTTACTCGTCAATCCGACAAGAAATATTCACAAGTTTGCACACAACAGTCAGAGTCTGGAACTTACTTCCCTCTGAAGTAGTGACGTCTACAACCTTAAATAGCTTTAAGCAGTCAGCCTTGCCTGCTATTAGATCATTAAAAGTGCCAAGTCACTTACGCAGGCTTTAAACCGCGACCGACCCGCCCAGTATTAGAGCAATCTATTTGGGTGTAACTTATTCAAATTCAAATTCAAACTGGACATTCCACTAAACTAGCGTGATTCTAAATTTAACGCACTCTTCTGGGCTAAATTTTGACTAACGGTGACGATATCATGTGTGATGTCCTGTCGGCGATGTGACCCATGTGTGTGTACATGGGGTCTAAATGTTTCCGTTCCTTTCGCCTTATTCACATATGAACGGAATTTGCACTGAAAAAAGTATGGATCCGGCTGCGTGTTGAGTCTAAAGTTGACCTCGTGATGCCRTTCACAGTCAAGAAGTCTAGAGTAGACGTGATTATAGAGTTGACAATTGCTATTTTGAGGGTTTTTTCCTGTTCTCGAATCCCCTTYATGTCATGCAATCAATTCAGACGGCCATTCCTTTCAGCACGTAATTACGGTTTGCTTTAATGTCAAAAATACATCGAGTTTTGTCGGTTCTTGTTTGCTTGTTTACTCTCTTTTGAGTTTATTTTCTTTGGTGTGTATGTTTGTAAGTTAGCTTGTTTTATTTGTGAACATTTTCCCTTTCTTTCTTTCTTTTTTTGCTTTCAATGATTTCCATATCATCTATTTTAAAATTGAGATGGCGGTCAATTGCAATCAAGTGCACTMAGTAATGTATTTTCACGAGGATAAGTGGCTCCAAAATAACTTTGATGCTTTTAATCCATCGTAATCGAGTTATTATCAGAGCAATCTATTCCTAATTGTGAAGCGAGGTCCGGTTTTCAATTCCACCACGCCCATGTTGAACATCTCGATGAAACACAACGAACATTCTTGTAGTTTTACGGCCATGCGCAACGCTCAAATAAACTCTAAAACCTGYATCATTGTATCCCATCTTCTTCTATCCGAACACTTACAGTATTAYGGTTCTCCTTTAAAGAAAAAAACGAGGAAAGAAGCTTGCGGTTTAYTATTCGTTTCTGTTTTGTGATTTTATTCGAGGTCACCACACTTCAAAGGCTAAGTAGCACGCGTAGATCGGTATGTCTGAATACGTCTGAATCCTGCCGTGTTGTCCACCGTACTGAATCAAATGGCTCATCATCCTSCGGGATTATAAGTATTTCCAAACGGAACYTTTATTTAAGCTTTACTGCTGTGATATAACAACGCAGTGCTTCCTGAGGTTGGGCTTCCTGTCTAGCTTCCCACTCAATATAGGAAACAACTAAGTTTTGCTTTGGTGAAAGTCCTTCTCGYAACTCTAGTAATCTGTACATCTGTATCAGTCTTGGCTGACGAAATGGCGGCGAATATCGATAATATCATGTCTGTTCTTCGCGTCTGGTATCGCGAAAGGAAACTGGTAACGATTTATTTATTTCTTGCGGTTTGATGTAATTATCTTCCCGTGTTAGTCCTCGTMAAGCCGCAGATTTCCTGTGAATGAGCCTTTCTAGTTCATCTACAGCTTGTAGGAGTGTTATTGATGACAATGAAATATCGAGCCAACCTATCGTAGCCGCAAGGACASAAGACGATGAATTCTGATTGAAAAATTGTCATGCAAATTGTTCGTTTTTGTATCGTTTTTATAGAAATATTTGCACAAATTGAAAAGCGTTTATTTTTCGYAAGGAYGGGATATGTAAACCGCGCTCAAATGTAAAAGCMTTTTGCGGTCTAGTCGTGAATGAAGGTTAACGGTGCCCGCGCATAGACACGTTACACGAAATCTATTTGGAGAATCTCGAAAGCGTCTTGTATATGAACATGAATTTTTATAATGATTAAGCTTCACTATCTTTTACAAGAACTTAAACTGTTTCTTTTAAATTTATCTCAAATATTATTAGAATTATATTATTGTATTAATTATTATTATTGTCTTTTTGTTATGAGACCTTTGTATGTTGTTATGTACAACCTAAGTACGTGAATCTTGTCGGAAACCTCGATATTTCAGTTGCTTGTGGTATTATCATGTTTTGAGTTTATATTACCACATATCCTAACATCTTTCAGCTCATTATTTCACAGTCTGCACTCGAAACCCCATCAATAAGAAAGCGCACTATTTCCTGTCAGTATTCACAACAACAAAATATCTTACTTTGCTTAAATTAAAACATATTAATTATTGTGTCCTTAGGAGGAGGAGGCGAGAAAGGAGGCAGAGCGATTTGAAAAAGAGGAAGACGAACGAAAGGTTAGTTGRATAAACCCTGAAAAAACTCCCTCCAACCCTCTCCCCCTCCCATTCACTTCCCATCCACCCCCGAGGGCTTTCTACGAGCCCGCAAACCAACTAGTATGCGGTTGGCTACCTCTCGTTGAATAAATTAAAGGTGTTTATAAGTGTAAAGAGAGTGGTTCATAGGCATTAGTCAACAATGGCAGTCTACACTCTTTCGTCTTCTAAAATGCCTCTATATCTCAACTCGTATGCTGTGTGTTTGGTGGGGAGAAAGTTCCGAAATGTGCCCCAAGTAAGATAATAATTTCTTCATTTMGTGCTCATGTTTTAACTAGTTTTCATGCTTATATTCCTTTTTTAACATCAGAAAGCAACATTATCAACTAAAGAAAATTGTTACTCATGTGTTGATATTTTTAAAGACATTCTAGTGATTATTTTACAGTTTTAAAACGAAAGACAAAATTTCGTGGAAGYATTCGCACAATCTTCTCTCTTTTGTTTACMYCTCTCTAAAATTTGTTAATCTTTTCCGGTTTTAGCAAAAATGTTGTCTTAGCTATTGCGTTATTGTTGAGTTTATTTGCTATGATTTTTCGTCAWGTTTCRATAAACTTCAATTGCTACCTTCTAGTAGACWAAATAATGCAGACAGTGATTGYAGTAACTTGACTAATCGAGTAGAAAAGCGAATTTTTTCTTTGTTTTGAGATYTTAAAGTATTATTTATCTAACGAGATTAAGATGGTTGTGTGGGTGTTAATTGCCGTAGAAAGTCACGCGAAAGACATTTGTACAATTTTAACCATTTCCAGAACTCTTTGTAACTAAGCCGAATTCATCACTTTGAGTTGGAGTTTGACAGAGGATATTTGGCATATCCTTTTACGGATTTTGGCGATGAAACCACTTGAAATAAGCTTCCTCTTAATTGAAAAGGTTTTTGAACTCTTATAGAGATTCTTAAGACTTCAATCTATTGCTAATTCTATATAAATACGAAAATTTCGAGTATTTTATGGCATTAAGTCTCTTTGTTAACTGTACAATTTATTWGAGTGTATTGTTTCAAGATAAAACCGTGAAAATATTGTATTTTGTTCGTAAAGTGAATTTTTCTATAATTTTCTCGCTATTTTTTCTTTTTAATTGTCGTGTTTTGACAGGAAATATCGTCGAGAATCATCTTTTAGTTGTTGTGTTGGCAATACTTTCATTTACTATTGACACTACACCTTTTTTGCAATTTAAATTACTATTATCATACAAATTTTAATTGCTTTTTTTTTACTTTCAACTCCTTGTCTGGAATCTTCGAGTATTTCATTACCTTGTTTTCAATTTCAATTCGTAATAAAACAGTTTGAAAATATGCAGKAGTAATGCCAAGAACGTGATCATAGGATTTGTATCATACAAAGTTCTGGATCATACAACCCTAAGAAGCTGGCAAAACATAGACTCTTCGATCTCTCCAGATTCTTCTATTTTTTTGTTTTCAAAGAGATGAACGGCCGAGATATTTTTTTCCTATTTCTGAAAGGGAATTTGGCAGTGTCCTTATAAGGTCAAAACAGGTTGTATAGTGACCGGAGTATCAAACGTAGAAGTTATTCGACGAGAAACGTTTCATTTGTTACATATTTGTTGACATTTCCCGTMGWGTTGTGTTTAGTATGCTAATAAGTGGCTTCGTGCGTGTGCATTGAGCTCTATCGAGTATAATTTTGAGGCTTAAGTCTTCCTGACTGTCCCTATTTTCTGTGAAAGAGATTAAAGATGATATTGACAGCAATGTGGTTCTTCTTGAAGGTTTCCGAAGTAAATGTTGACGTTAACATTTGTATGCTTACACTATAAATATTTTACCTTTTTTTCCTAGTAAAGCACATTTATATATTGCAATCAAGCGTGTCTTTTCTAAAAAAAGAACAATATTTTTAGCTTGTATTTTCAAAGCTTCTGGTACTARAGCTTGGGCCATTTTTTGTGGCCACTAACTTCAGTTACATTTTTCATTTTCACAAATTTTTCGCGTACTTTTGTCAAGTACTTTTTGTTCGTATTTGTGTGTCATTTGCATGATTGCATCTTTCTAATACTGACAATAGAATAAGATAGAGAGAGGAAAAGGAAATTAATAAAATGGTTTTGGGTAAATAAATTTAACATCGGATATCAGAAATAATCGAAGGGAGAAAAACAGAAATCAAATTGATAAGTTTTCGATTTTTAAATGACACTTCAATGATTGGGTGAGCGAAATTGCATGAGCTGTCTCAGTGAAAATATGAGTAAATTTTGAAGAATAACAGAATGAAAGGATGATTGAATAAGTAAATGAGTAGAAATGAGAAAGAAWAAAAGAAAATAATAGTTAAATGAAGACCGGTCGACGTGCATTGCATCATGTGAACACGATAATGACACTTAAAAAATGCCACCTCATTTATTATTATAAATCATACATGGAAGCCATTAATGGCAATATTGGACGCTACAGCAGTTTCTATGCGTCAATTCTATTTCACAACATACAACCATGTTAAACCCGGATACTTTAAAAGATCGAAAATTCCGATCGCTAATCTATGTGTTCTTGTTTTGGTTAGGAGGCAATCAGAAAGAGAATGGAAGAAGCCAAGCGTTTAGACGAAGAAAATAGTCAAGTAAGTATCTAAAAATATCGGACTTGTGACCATAATGGCATAGTTAAACCATTGCATCATAGTCTAGTGAAGAATGACAAGAATTTTCGACATAAAACTTGAAATTTTGACTTTTTTAGAGGAAGCCATTTCAGTGCCAAAGAAACCATTTCACTGTCAGAGTAATCATTCTATTTTATCAAAAACTCATTTTAATGCCAGAAGCCATTTCAATGCTAGGAGACGATCTATGTGCTAGGAAACCATTTTAGTGCCAATAAGCCACTTCAGCTTCAAAAACCGCACAATTRTCAAAGAAAGCTTTAAAACTGATCATGATGAAATATTCATTGTTCTCATGCTTMAGATTTTAATGGTCTTTTGTTGATACAATTTTTACTTAAGATTGARCCTCCCGTCGAGTTCTTTATTCAGTTATTTGATGTTATTATTGAGGCATAGTAATTATCTCGTTGAGTGGTTTTTGYAGACACGTTCTCAACATTACAGTCTGGGAATTAAACCCATTGTKTTTGTGTGTGCATCTTTGACTAGTAGATTTTGGTTCACGGTTTGATTCTATGTGTCCTTGTTTCACGGTGATATCTAATGTAAGTTTATTTCTTATTACAGAATGTAAACAGAGCCAGTCCAGGCCCCGTGTCATCAGATCAAGCTCGACGGTTAGAAGCCGAGGAGGCCGAGAAACAAGTCAAAGACCGAATTCAACAACGCCAAGGAAACAAATCTGATTCCGAAGACACTACGACGAACGTTAAACGCACACTATCGGCTTCCGAACGACGAGCGATAGAAGCCGAAAAGAGAGCCCAGTGGCGAAAAGAGCGCATGCGTGAACTCGAAGAGGATGCGTTGAAGGCGCAGATCGTTATTGCGCAAGTCAAAGCTATGTCTGCCTCTTCACTCGAATCGCTTCCCTTGGGGTCCCCTGACGGGCCAAGGCAATCAAGTTCTTCAGAAAACGAGTTCAACGAAGGACGAAGAACGTCAAGTACATCGAATAAGACCACGTGATATATTATAACCAATCAATGAATAGGAGAGGAACCTATAGAAGAGGCTGGCCCTTGCTGGGTTGCTATGGAAACCCTCTGAGATTCCACGTCCGAGGAGGCTTGGAAACTAATCAATGCAAAGTGGTTGTGATGCAGCTTTGTCATGGAAGTGCCAGTGAAAATTTTAACGAACTTTTAATTTTTAATTATTTTAAAGTCAGTCGCCTTAAAGGTTTTTGGTTMTTTTTAACGAAATTTTCCGAGATCAAACACGATTTTGTTTTAATTTTGAGTTCATTCATGAAAAKCCACCACAAGTTAGTCACGTGGTATCATCACGTGACCTGATATTTTTAACGTGGTATGATAAAGAATGGTAACGAGGGTCCAACTAATCTGACAACCACTATTGTAGATAGGTATTTTTGAACTAAATSAAGTCAAATGAATAATGTACAGATTAGCTTAATCGAGCTTACTCTGTGGTGGTCTACCTGTGGCGGCTAAGTCTGTTACCAGTCTTTCTCATTCAAGTCTTACCACAGGTAGACCAATTTGAGTTTTTAGTGGCTTTTAGACATATATAAATACATGTTAATATTTCTGATGTAAGTTAAAATCATTATTTTATCAACGCGAGTTTTATTTTTTCGAGGTCTTAAAGCCGATCAATGGAGCTCATTTTAAAACGATTGATTCATTGTCAGCGGTTTAAAGGTACTATATGAGAGAGTATATCCGAGCTCATTTGATATTTGAGCCTTTAGATCCTCAGAGAAACAAAGGTGGCGRAAAGTTGTATGTAAAAGAGCAATTTGAATTTTTAACGATGATAATTATTAATATTATTAAGACAATATTAGCTGTTACGTCTCAAATGTAAGAAATGTTTTTATACAGAGGAATAAATCGCGTTAAATGAATAAAGTCTTGGTTTTATGAACTCCTATTGAACTAGCGGAGAGACTGGTTACGATTAACCTTGATGCAGAAAGGGTTTGTGTTCCCAAAGTATTGTGGAAACGGTTTCAGAAAAGCGCATTCAAAAGTATTCAAGACGCGCACATGCTATTTTCCTATTTGAACCTGCTTTTTTCCGACGCATATTAATTATATGTTTCGCGCATTCTGGAAATAACCATGATGCCTTTCGACGCGACTCGAATGTGAATACATGAAGCCTTCGTTCATTTTAGTTTTAATGAATAATAAGTTATTTTTGTTACATTTGATATGAATAAATTTTACAGTGCTTTAAAAGTCGACATGTAAAGGTAGTATTATATAGAATTGTGTGCGTAGTCTGTTTTTGCTGTTGGTTTTGCATATCTGACGTCTAAAATAAGTCAGGAGCCTTGCGTGTACGTTAACGACGATGGAAGGATTTAAGAACGTATAGTATTCTTAATGATCGGAATCATCAGTCAAGTAGCTTCGTCTGAAGCCTTTTGATTTGAAGTTCACTTTCTTGCCTCGATCTACAGAAGACAAAAGTACATAAACAAGAAGAAAAGGGAAAAAAACGCGACAGTTATGAGAATTCAAAGTGAAAAAGAGAATAAAGAGTACGTTTAAACGGTGGTCTGATTACCTAAGGTCCAGTCCTCGCTCCCAGCGTCACTCGCGCTATCTARAGGCCTGGCCCACGGTCGCCCTTCCGCAAGACGAGTAGTACTGGGACTACTACGACCATATTTGACATTAACATCGGTCTATGATAGAACAAATGAAGTTAATTACCACGTGAATAGTACAAGCAATATGATTGGTTGGCTACTAGGTCATTGTTAAAATTTCGTCTCCTATTTTTTCCATTAAGCCATGCATCTAAATGAAAGTTTTGTCATGTACTCACGTCGTTGTCAGACGAATATTCRCCGCTTTTTTGCTGCCATCCTTTACCAGGTTTCGGTATAAACAAGTCATCACTACGGCCAGAAGCAGCTGAAGTAGGCCTGGGACTGGGGCTTCCAACAAGGTCTGTTAAAAATGTGGAGCTATTCCTTAGGAACAAAACGTCATGTTAGATTTACTAGTTTGCACTCGAGTGCAAACAATATACCCTTGGAAGAGAAAGCTAACAAAATATTACTAAATTACGCTAATTATTTGACACCATCTAACAGTGCTAATGTCACACAATACAGATGTCACGATATAGAGATGTCACGCAATGCTTACCTATTGTACATGTGTTTTCCTTTCTGTGGTTTGGTGTCTGGTTTCTCCCACATTGGTTTATTTTTTCTCGGAGTCACTGTATCATCTATAACAATTGAATGATAGTGATTTTGGTAGATATGTTATGTCAAATTGTACCCCCACTACCACCCCCCTAAGTAACACTATAGTTGGTATCCCTTACTTTCTGAGTCAAAACCTGAWGGCCACTTTATACGAGCTGGTTCACCAGTCTGCAAAGAAATGATAGCTATTAGTAATTATTAAAAAATGTTAACAATAA